ATATATATATATATATATATATATATATATATATATATATATATATATATATATATATATATATATATATATATATATATATATATATATATATATATATATATATATATATATATATATATATATATATATATATATATATATATATATATATATATATATATATATATATCGTACCTGACCAGAAGGGGAGCTATGAACTGCCACACGTCGTTGATCTGCTAGCTGCTCACCGAAGATATGGAAGAGGAGGGGGGTGTACTTGAAACACACTCTGATGCCAAAGTAAGTGATGGGCAGAGTGGAAGCAAGCACAGAGAGAGAGTTAGAAGTTAAATTACCTGACCCTCTAGTGAATAGGGTATTTATAGTGAGCCTCCAGCGTAGGGCCAACGGTTACCTAGCACTGGGCTGGGCTGCCAGGCCCAATGTAAGTAACTGCTAGGGCTGACGTGGCGTCGTGAAGACCAGGACGTGGTCTTCGCCATAGAGTAACTGTTCCGCATTATCTGGGAGGAGGAAGACTGAATCTCCAGGACGTGGGTGGTTACGTTATGACGTGTCCCTGCGTAAGGGACACGTGGAGAACGTGGGGGAAGGCCCGAGGAGTCCCCGGGAAGCCAGAGGCGGCTGATCGGATGTGAGGGTCCTGCCCGACGATGGGAAAGACGGAGGCTGGCCGGTCGGAAGCGATGGTCCTGCCCAACAGGTGTTGACCTGTGCCCGACGGGGAGATGTTATGCTCGACGGGGATCCTGTCCGTTAGCGTGTTATTCTTGGGCCCAACCTCGTTGGGGCTTGGGCCTGCTTGTTGTGAGCTAAGCGTCGGCCCAGTCCAGAATATATATATATATGGTGGGCCATGGCCCACCCCAAAAAACAATATTTTTTTTTATATTATAGAAATTTACTATAATATCCTAAAAATTATATTATTATATGACAAAAACCCTTTATTTTTCTCTCTTCTTTCTTGCGTTAGCGTACTACCATAACACAATTTCTTTCCCTAAATCAAATTTTGGCTCAGTTCTAAAAGCTTCACTTGCCTTTTCTTCGTCTCCACAACAAGCAATCTCTCTAACGCCATATCCATTATTAAGAATTTTTATTGGCAGCGACAATCGACGACGAGTCGTTCTCCGGTTCTCCCTCTCTGTCGTGACATTTCTTCTTTGTGCTATTTTTGTCCTAAAAATTTTGTGAATTGGGAAGCAATTTTAAGGTGAAATTTACTCTGAAAATATTATTCTTACAGAACTATTTGCTGCTGATTGTTAATTTAGATTGTTGATTGTTAATTTTGAATGAATGATGTTGTTGATTCTTGTTGTTGATGTCATTGAAACTTGTGTTTTTATTGTTATAACTTATAACAACAAGTCACTACAACAAAAATGACTTTAGGCAAAGGGGAATAAACAACGACTGTAAAACCGTCCCTTTAAGTAACATAGGCTACGCATTTTTACGTGTTGACATTTTCTTTCAAAGTCATCCCTTATTTATTATATGCTACGGTTTTGAAAATGTGGTTAGAATATAATCGTCGCGTATTCACTTCTATCCACAGTTTCATAAGCGTAGCATATAAGAACCGCAACTTATTCCTTTTTTACAACGCTTTTGAAGTGTGGTATTTTGATTTCTACGTCTGATAAACCACCCCCTAAAGCCTTAGGCTACGGTTATTTCACTTTAGTTTGCGGTTTTGAGTTGTTGCCAAAAGTCATTTTTGTTGTAGTGAGTCAATAAAAAAAAAACTTATAAGAACAAATTTTATTATGATTGAATTTCAGTATTGTTTTCAAATAATTTATGTCGGGACTAAGAATGATGATTTTTTATTGTTAATTTTGAATGATTGTTGATTGTTAATTTTGAATGAATGATGTTGTTGATGATGCCACTATCACAACCACCCCTGTTATAACAACAAATTAAAACTTGTGTTTTTATTGTTATAACTTATAACAACAAGTCTGTCAAAAAAACTTATAACAACAAGTTTTATTATGATTGAATTTTAGTATTGCTTTCGAATAATTTATGTTGGGATTAAATTATGTTCTTGTAAATCAGAAGAAATAACTTATGTGGTCAATGTTGCTTGTTCTTCACTAAAGCGACATGATGAGTTACAAGAAGGTCAATTAAAAGAAATTGAACATTTGTTGGAGATTTATGAGATCATTACTAGTCAAGGTGAAAATTAAATTGGTACTTTAAAATGAGCTGATACTACTCCTTGGAGATCACATATCAATTCTATTTGTAGCTTGACGAATATGTACGAAGAAACTTGTCGTGTTTTAAAAATATTATCAAAGGAAGAAGCAAAAACATAATACATGTGGGGGATGGTGATATTGGTTACAATTACTTGAAGGAATTTGATTTTTTAATGATCTTGCTTTTGATGAAAGAAATTATAGGGATAACAAATGTGCTTTATCAAGTTTTACAACAACAATCTCAGGATGTGGTTAATGTTATGATTTTAGTTCGTGCAACAAAAACTCTTATTCAAGAGCTGAGAGAAAACGGTTAGGATAAGTTGTATGCTGCTAATGTGACATCTTATTGTGTGAGACATGATATTGAGATTCCTAATCTTGATGATACTCATTAAACAACAAGATAAGGACGCTCACGTCTTGCAGAGAATCAGGTCACACTAGAACATTACTTTAAAGTTGAAATATATTTTTTCTATTATTGATCAACAATTGCAAGAGTTGAATAGTAGATTTAGTGAGCAAACAATGGATTTGTTTACTCTAAGTTGTGCTTTGAATCCTAAGGGTAGTTATAAAGTTTTTAACATTGATACTATTTGCACTCTAGTTGAAAAATATTATCCTATGAATTTTAATGAGTAAGAAAAGATTACTTTGCAATTTCAGCTTCGGCAATTTCTTGTTGATGTCTGTCAATCAACATATTTGAAGAATTTATCAATTTTATTCAAAATTTATGCTCGTGTTTGGTTGCAACAAACAGGAATAAAATTTACTTCTTGATTGATAGACTACTCTGTCTTATCTTGACTCTTTCAGTTTCTACTGCCACAACTGAGAGATCTTTTTCGACAATAAAAATTATCAAGACTAAGTTGTGAAACAAAATGAAATGTCGGTTTCTAGCATATAACATGACTTTTTACATTGAAAGATAAATTAATGCATCTATTAGTGCAGACTCTATTATTGATGATTTTAAGTCACTCAATGCACGTAAAATATTATTATAAGATATGTAATTCATTTTTCTAATAATCAACTTTGTGATTATTACGTCTTAAATCTTTATATACAATATAATTTTTATATTTAAATTAAATATTATAATTTATTTTAATGGTTCACTCAAAAACAATTCCTAGTTCTGCTAATATATATATATATATATATATATATATATATATATATATATATATATATATATATATATATATATATATATATATATATATATATATATATATATATATATATATATATATATATATATATATATATATATATATATATATATATATATATATATATATATATATATATATATATATATATATATATATATATATATATATATATATATATATATATATAATCAAAGGATCAAGAATAAAAGATTAAATATTTTATCTATTATGTTTTAATTGTTAATCATGTAATAACATTGATGGTTTTTTTTACTGTTATTTGTTTTATTTTATTTCTTAAGGGGTCTTAATTCTAGAGAATTCTCTTAGGCCTAATATAACATAATAATTCCTAAATAGTTACTCCTTCTTGCCATTTTTATAATAAATACTTCATTTTTTTTAAATTCATTAATTACTTAATCATACCAAATATATTAATTATTTAATAAATATAAAAAAGTGAAATGTTTTTTATAAAAAAAATGAAAAAGGTATAATAAATATTACATCAAAATTGAAGGTAAAGAGGGAAAGCGTGAACTTTAACTACCAATCATAATAATAATCATCGATCGATTCCAATCTAAGATTTATAATAAAAATTCTGTAAATTTCACATAAAACATAATGAAACTTGATGAATTACTATAGAACAAGTATCTTGCTAATGCAGTTTATCTGATTCCAAATTAACTGTTTTTCTTTTACATAAATCATTCTAATTATGATGTTTGAGGACTTACTTATTCCACAAAATATTCTCCCAAAATTAAATTTTGGAATCCATTGAGACATAAATTTATTCTTTATTTTAACTTATGTATCTTTTGATCCTCTTTGTTCTAAAAAAATTTAAACTAAATTTGAAATATATTGAGCCTAACAATTTATAGTTCTATAACTAAAAGTAAATCTAGGATAAAATTTGACTTTTATATTTTTTTTAATCAATCAAATTTTAACATAGATTTATTTTAATGAACTCAAATATTTAGTCAAAGTGAGTTTTATAATTGAGGAAATAAATTAAATGTATTCATTATTTGAGGGCTAAGCTGTAATGTTGTTATATAAGTTTCAATGAATTAAAATATTTAGTCAAAATGAGTTTCAAAATTAAGGAAATAAATTAAATTTTATTATTTAAAATAAAAAATATATTGTTTTTTCATGGATACTTAAATTCATTCGAAGTTATATTTTCAGTCAAAAATTTAATAAGATTTTAAATTAAATATAAAAAACATGTTTATTAAATAGAGTATAATATAAATATTTATTTGAAAGTAAAAATACAAAAAGCAGTCAAACATAAATCTCTATGACTTTTGAATACCTTTTCTTAACTGTGTACAAACTTGCTTTGAATAAATATTATTAATTGCTCCCCTTTTTATTAGAAAAAAAAAAGAATAATAAAGAGTAACTGCTAAAAAGAAAAGTAAGAAATTAATAATTATTATTTTTCACAATATTGCTTCCATTAGAAAACATCATCGAATCATATATTATTTAGGGGCTAATTCTAATCAAGATATACTTAATCAGAGCATTGTCTTTCTCATTCTCATCAGAGCTTTTTTGATTGACCTTGATGAACCTGAGCATGGCTGCATTCTTGCAAAGATTCATATTTTTTGACACTGGATACTCTCTTCTTGGATGACTTGTTTTGAAGAGACCAATCCACAAAAGGTTTTGGATGGTTGTGCTCTCCTATATATGTCACAACATAAATATTTTCTTTGTGTTGTTTTTTTTCTACTAGTTTTTTTGCTACACAATCTTTAAAAGTGCTACATCTATAGTAGTCCCTGCAAAATTATTAATACATTATTTCATATATGAAACACCACAAAGTTGTAGCATTTTAACAACTATAATCACATAAATATATTGGTTAGGTTGTTTGTTTATAAATGTTTGAGATCTATCAATAAGCTACACACATATTTATTTCATACTTGCTAAAAATACAATAAACATGATTTTTTTTTAGTCTTACCAAATTAACCTTATCAAGTACTGTTGTACTTACATGAGTTAAAAGTAAAGAATATAAAATGAGGATTGATGAAATTAATATACTTTAAATATTACAGTTTGAATAATTAGTTTAAATATGTTTTTGTATGTTAGAATTTTTTTTCTCTTTTTTTCCTTGAAAAAAATATTTTTTATTTTTAGTTCTTGAAAAAACAACTTTTTGTTTTTGGTAATTATTTTTATTAGTACTAGTAACATTTATTCATATTATTTAGAATTCATCTATTTAAAATCTATAAAATTTAATTTTAAATATAATTAAACAATTCCTTTTGGAATTAGTAAATTTTTCTTTGATTAAATAAAATATGAAAATGACATAAAATTAAAAATGAATATCAAAGAAAACACTTTGAACAAGATTCCTTTAAACTGCAAGGATCGAATGTCCTTCAACCAAAAAATAAAAAATATTTTAATGGTAAATGAAAGGAAATTTATGTAAAAGTTACACATGAATGTGAAAAAACCTTGGATGTTGAGATCCTTTAATAAGTTTCTGTCCATACTTTCTCCATTGCCATGGATCTTCAGCCAACTTCTCTTCACTGATGTGCCATTCTACTATCTTCTTATTATCAAACTTTCTGAAAAAAATTAAAGTTGAAACAATATTAAACTACAAGGACTTATATCATGTAAAAATGATCCAACAATTTGACATAATAAGATTGATAAAGGATTAAAGTATTAAAATATATGAACAAATTAAATACTTTACTTTTTCTTGTTTTTCAATAGTTCTCCTTGTGGGTTTGTATTTGGTAAAATCATAGAACTAGTATGGGGTTGTATAGTTGGTGGTTGATTGATCTCTCTTGCGTTTTGTTTAGAAATGGATGGATGGTTGTATGCAAGATCAAAATGAGCCGTTGTGATTTCAACGCAAGCCGCAGGTTTGAGAGCAGATAGTTGATTGTTTTGATTTTGTTCAGTTTGTTGTTGTTCAAAGAGTTTTGGGAAATTATGCATCTTAGGATAGTTATTGGTTCCATGAGAACCGGTGTTAGTGTTAATCATGGTAGTGATAGAAGGTGCAGTGGTTTTGGCGCTCGAGATAAAAATGTTTGTTGGGAGGCTGAGGTTAGGGAAGTTGGTACTAATGGATATGGGAATATTGGTGGTAAGGTTATTCATAGTAGGGGTGGGGATAATGGTCGTTGGAAGAAAGCTAGGTATAATTTTTTCTGGCCCCCTAATATCAGTTGGTTGCATCTGTATGTTTCTATTGAATGTTGGGAAATCAAAAAAATTAGAATTTTGATTGGAGTCATGATTAATAGTACTAGTGTTAGTGTTGGTAGTGGTGCTTATGTGGGTAGGGACAGGAATGCGGGTTGTAATAGTGGTGGTCGGGGTATATAGGGCGGTGGTGGTGGGGGTGACGGTAATGGGGATAGTTGTGGTGTGGGCGGGGACAACGGTGGTTGGATTGAAATTGATTTTCAGTTTGTCAAGCTCAATAAAATCAGTTGGTTTAAGTGGGGAAAAACCAACTGATCTATTTTCTTGGGTTAAAGAAAAATCATCAAGGTAAAATGGTGTGGTGTTTTGAGGAGATATAATGCTACTGGTAGTGGTGGAGGCGGTTGTTAAGGTTTGAGGTGGAGGAAGAGTTTCAAGAATGGTGGTAGAAGAAGTATAAGCGTTAGCTTTGCAGCTATGCACAATGGAAAATAGATCACAATCATTATTATCCATGGGAGAAATGATTTTTTTTTATGATGGAGAGTATGTCTAAAGGGGAACACTTTCTAACAATTTATAGGGAAAGATGAATATTTTTTCAACAATTGAATCCGGTTGAAATTTCCCAAGACAATTGTAACGGCTAAAATAATGTGAGTTTTTTTTTTTTTTCTTTTTTTTTTTAATATTCTTTGACTCACTAACCATATATGAAGAGAAAAAGTTTATGAATACTTTTTGGAATCATGAAAAAATATTAAAGTTTATAAAAAAGGCTCATGATTGAAAAAGGCTCAATGTTATACCCTCTCATTTACAAATAAATAATGAGCGCTCAATAAATATTTTCATGATTATCATGCTTTCTACAAAACATGTTTTTCATTTGTGCCGAAAACATGCATTTTGTAGTTTTGTATCATTGAATTTAGTTAGAATAGTATCCATATTCAATCAAATAATGGTATTGAATGCTAGATCACCTTTTTCTTTTATTTTTATTTTTTTAATAAATTAAAAATTAAAACTAATTTATATTAAAGATATCGATACCAACCAAAACTCTCCTAAAAAATTGCCTTAAATTTATAGTCTTAACTTTATACTTATCTCTTTGAAATTCAATTTTTAAATTAATGCACAAATTTAATTTAATTCATAGTAACTCCTAGTATTAAGTTTATGCTTATCTCTTTGCATTTTTAAATATATATATTATATTTTTTATCTAGAATATCCATCTATTATAATTAAAAAGTAATTCTCATAATAAAAGGTTGTATTTTTACTGTTAGTAAAAAATAAGGGTGTAATCCATATTTATATTTACATAATAATGAATGGTGGAACCTCCCAATTTTTATTATTTGATTTGATTATTAGTGTATTTCATCTATCATATTTGAGTTCCGGTGTTTTTTTAGTGTGTAGGTGTATTTTAGTAATTTAATAATTATTAAAATTATGAAATTTGAGAGAAAAAAATAAAAATTATTGAGATTATTAAGGATAATTAGACTGATTTAATTATTTTGTAATAGGTGAAAAGAGAAAAAAAAATATAAAAACCTTGATTAAATAAGTATTTGAATAAAATTTTTATTTAAAATAAATATTTATTTAATTTAAATAATAATTAATGAAAAATAAATAAGGGGGAGGAAGTTAAGTTTTTAGAGAAATTGTGGGCTAAGTTGTAATATTGGAGTGTGGTGGGTAAAAGATTGTGAGTTAACCTTATACAAATATTAAATAGTTGGGATTTGAGAAACATTTTCACGTGAAACTAGAAAAGTTGGAGAGCAGCTACGAGGAACTCTAAGGGAGAGCATTAAGAAGGAACAACTAAACTTCGCCAACGGACTATGCAATTTCAAGATAGGGGAAATTGTCTTCTTATGTGTTATTTAGACATGCAAGATAGTGAGAGTTCCTTACCTTCCTATCATCTTTGGGGTTTATATGGTTTTTTTTCCTTATTTCTCATTTTTATCACGATATGTGAAAATTAACCAAATATGATTTGGACAAATTTTTATAGTCTGACTAACAAATGTTTTTCTATATGATTGTTATGAGACCCAAAAAGGGATTTGGGATAAATCTCATACGATCTATAAGTGTTGTTAATTATTTGTAGGTTTATAAAACTTATTGTTGATGATGATAATATTGTATGACTTCTTTTGCTTGTCTAGTTGATTGTTGTTGTAGAGTTGGAATTTTGCCTCAGGTATTCGAACGACTCTGTTTGAGTAGTTTGATTTTCCATCTTTGTGATGTTGATGACCCTGTTTTCCCTAATTTTTCCTTAATCGATCATTTTTGAAAATTTTTCCAAATGCAGTAAAACCTTTTTTTTCAAAATGAAACTTTTTACATGAAAAAACAGAAATCGATTTTGTTGAGCAGTTGGGACTCAAATAGACAAGTTTTGAATTTGTTCAATAGGGAGAAAAACATATAAAATCACAGGTAGATATAGAAGGGGGGTTAATCATCTTGTTTCACGCGTAACTCAAGTTTCGTAAGTCGGTTTGAGGCATCGTCGGTTGCATAGGAAAGCTAATGCGATAATCCTTCTTTGAAATAGAGAAATTGAGTTTAGGAGCTCTACAACAGTAGCAGTTTTCTGGTTTTTATACTAGAGATGTATTCAATTTCAGTCATGTGTTAATCATCATGTTTCATGGTAACTTGAGTTTCGTAAGTCCTTTTGGGATGCTGTCAGATGTGTTAGAAAGAGGATTAAATAATCTTTGAAACTAGAGTGTTTCATAGTTTTATCATGAGTATATAATTTTTTATGCTATTTTGAAATTAAGAATTTTGTTTTAGGGCTTATGCAGGAATTGTTGCGATAGGGCTGAACTAAAACGAATATAAATGGAGTTTCAAAACTCAGCTTAAGGTGCGGCTAAGTACGTTTGAAAGAGTGTTTAAAGAAATTTCAAACTAAAGAGTTTCATAATTTTATCATAAGTCTATAATATTTTGTGCTATTTTGAGGTGAGACCATTTTAGAGTTAAGTCCAGAGTTTTAAGAAATTTAAGTAACAATGTCAGGGTTTATCCTTACTAGAGTTATTACACGCGAACTTGTACCGTTAGAGCATTTGGGTACTTTAGAGTTTTTTGGGGGTACTCGAAACTTATTTTTTAGAATTATGAGTTTTGAGACATTTTGAGTTCCCTACAATTTTTTAATGAGTTAAGGGTTTGGGGTAATAACATAACTTTACCCTTTTTGATGAAAAGTGATTAAAATTATTTTAAAAATATATTTTTGAGTATAGTAATCCAGAGGGATTATACTGACAACCTTAATTGGAAATTCTGAGTATAGTAATCCAGATGGATTATAATGATGGCCTTAATTGGCGATTTATGATGCAGAGTAATTTGGAGGGTTTACAGTGATGGCTTGTGATTGGCGACATATAGGTTCAAGAGTGGAACCTTTTTGATGATGTTTTAATGTTTGTGATTTTATGATGTTGAATGTTTACATTGTTCATTACCATGCATGCATTTATTCCAGAGTTAGGTAGGACTTTAATCTAGTGGTCGCATCACTACGCCAAAATTGATATTTTGTATCACCTAATTTAATAGCGCTTTTAAAAAAAAGTGCTATTAAAAAGGAAACAAACACATCTATAATAACACTTTATGGTCGGACGTTATTATAGAGTGTAGACAGTGTGATTTTGATAACACTTTATTAAAAAACACTATTATTATAAAGGAAACAAACATATCTATAATAACACTTTTAAAAAAAGTGCTATTAAAAAAGAAACAAACATATTTATAATAGCACTTTATGGTCGGACGCTATTATAAAGTGTTGACAATATGATTTTGATAGCACTTTATTAAAAAGCGCTATTATTATAAAGAAAACAAACATATCTATAATAACACTTTATTAAAACGCTATTAATATTCTTCACTAAGATAGCGCTTTTAGAAAGTGCTATTAAAAAGGAAACAAAATGTGATTTTGATAGAACTTTGTAAAAAATGCTATTATTAAACTTTACTAAGGACACGTTCTTCCACTCACTCATCTTCTTCCTCTGATTTACTCACTTATCTTCTTCCTCTGATTTACTCACACCATCGACCTAGCCTTCCTTCATTCATCAGTTCACCACCGGAAAGACAAAACACAGTCGATTCAGATTCACCTTGGATTCACCACTCGAATAGAAAGAGGAAACACGGGAAAGAAAGAACAAAGAAAACCCATTCTCCGTCGAACTCAGCCCTTCATCAGCTCACCACCGTCACCCTTCTCTTCATTGGTATCTGGTAATCTTTCTTTTCTCATATTATTGCTTTGTGTTGTAAATTGTAAAATTAGGAATTTGAATTTGAAGATAATTTAGTTTCTACCATTGTTGACTAATTAAAAGTGAATCCCTAATTTTTCCGAGCTTTAAGTGAATCCCTAATCTGAATCAAAATTGTCAGTCACAGTTTTATTATCGTCAGTATTAGACTGTGGTTCATCAAATGAATTAGCTATACTATTCATATTAGGAGTTTTACTGTTAATATTGGTAGCAGTGAATGATTGAGGATCATCATTGATTTGGTTTTGCATCGTTTGGGCATGAGCCGGATTCTGCCTCCAATGTCGTTGTGATGGTATACTGACACCACACAGTGCTAAATTTTGATTTGGGATTGAAAGTTTATGTTGTGAACACTTCCCTCATCACCATGTTTGCGTGATTTTTTTACTGTCATTTAGTATTATCCTCCTTATCTTTCTTACAACTGAAGCAGTTTTTTCCTTATAACTAAAACCATGTGCATCCATAACGGAAGTATGAGTCGGTTTAGTGGTTTGATCAGTTGAAAAAACTCTACAAAGAGAAACAGTGTTAAGAGGAGGTAGGATAAGGATTAAAAGTTGTTAAATATATATTTGGTAAGACAGTTTACTACCACCAAGATCACATTTTTTTCCATGTGGTTTAGGTAGCCCTTATATAAATCCATTAAAATATAACCCCATACCTGAGTAGGAATTACCAGTGGTTGTAGTAGTCCAGCATGAGACAAGGTTTGGTATTTGTTCAATTGGCAAACGTCACAGGTGGCAACATATTGTTGAATATCTTTCCTCAATCCTTCCTAATACAGAATTGCTAAACTTCTTTTATAAATTCTGAAAAATCCCGAGTGGCCTCCCGTGGCTGAATCATGGAAGTCTTTTAAAAGCTTTTGAATCTGTAAGACCCTTTAGGTAGCACTAGTCGTGCTTCGAAAAACAACTTCTAATCTCTAAAAGAATATCCATGTTAAGAGTGGCTATCCTTCAGCAAGTCTTGATCTTTTACCAGGAAGTTCATCAAACATGCCAATGGTTCCTTACCAGCCTGCTTGCCTTTCTGATCTCGAAAAGTCGCACATGTCTGACCTTGCTACAAGTGCCATGGGTGAACTAGTTAGGCTTTTATAGACTGATGAGCCTTTGTGGATGAAATCAAACACTGATG